CATTGGGTGGTCATGGTGTAGCTATTGCCGCTCTCGAAAGAATGGAGGCAGGGAGGACCATTAATGCAGGATGGCTGCAGCAATTTATAAGGAAAGATCCTTGAAGAGCACTGCATGAACGGATGAAAAATGGGCTACTGCATCTCTTCATTGAGCAGCTTCCTCTGTTCAACGCTCTATGTGTCACTATCCTCCAGATGGGTTCTCCGAAAGAAATCACTTCCTTTCCTGGTGATGCCCCCACAGACTTGTTTTGCGAACTAGGTGAAGAAATGCGAGTGCCAGACCTCCCCCGTGATTTTATCGGGGTCGAGGTTGTTTCCGATGACAACTCCTCGGAAGAGGCTAACGATGGTGGCGACAAAGAGAAAGAGCTGGAGGTCGAGAAGGAAACTAGATCAACCCAAACTCCACTCGAGGAGACTAACGAGAATCAGTCGATCAAGCCTCCAAACCAAGATACTGTATGATAATTTCTTTTGTAATAAGGTTTCTGTTGGGGTTGTAGATCCCGTTTGTAGTAATTTTGAACAAATCCTTGCTTAATTTGATCTTTGGCCTTTTGAAGTATTTGACTCGTTTTTACTGATCATACTAGGAATCATACTTTGTTCATCAGGTACGCTTGATGATCCTAGATGAAAACCAAGCCAAGAACTTTCCTATGTATGCTATGGTTTCATCAGCAATGAGGAAATCGGGGAACATCACAATATCTCCATAATGAAGACTCTCGAGAAAGAGATCGTAGATGTCGTCCAAGCATACAGCGTACAGATACACTCCCGCCTGGTACCGCGCTTCAGGCAAAAGGAAGAAGAGTATCGGTGTAACCTCCATAAATATTATCTCAATTTCCAAGATTCCTTGATACTAGAGACGAATGTGAGCGAGAAAATGGCTCGATTGAAGAAAGAGAATGCCCAACTGAAACGTCGTGAAGGGATCATGGTATCTCTGTGGTTCCTCGAGAAATTTGACATCCTTTCTCTCGTTGAGAGGCATATACAAGTTAGGATAGAACGTTTCATTGCCGCAATAGACCTGCTGAAGAAGAGAAGCAAGGAAGCCGAGTTTTACTCAAAGCAGTGTGCCATTTTGCAGAACATTAATTTTGGTGGACCGGGAGATTCCACTTCCTATTCTCGAGGACCTGGATGAAGATGGCGAAGTCAAAGAGAGGAAGGCCGCCGAGGAGTACCTGCTGCGGTTGAATCTATTGGGCGGGATTACGAAGCGGGTCACCTCCTCGAATCAGATCCTGACCCGCGAACTATACCATCAGGCCTGCTCGATGCAGTACGGGCCGAGCTTGTCCAATTAACTTGGGCCGAGTCCAGGTTAGAATTACTTTGTGTCAAGTTTTATTTATTTCATATGACTAATACTTGACAGGGGCAATTGACGAGTCCATATCCACCACCTGTCTTGGACCGGCCCATTCACCGAGTCCATGGTCCAACCGACTCTGTAGAGGCGGTGCAAGAGTACTAAACCTAGTAAGATTTGGACATCTCCTAGGTCTATAAATAGAGATGATTACTCCATAATTGAGGTACGCTATCTCTAACACCAATTCTCATACACATATTTCTTCATATCCCTATTTTCTGACTTAAGCATCGGAGTGTCTACCCTCGGGAGACTCCCGAGGGTAGACACTCCGATGTTTAAGTCAGAAAATAGGGATATCCGAATCTTACTAGGTTTAGTACTCTTGCACCGCCTCTACAGAGTCAGTTGGACCCTAGACTCGGTGAATGGGCCGGTACAAGACAGGTGGTGGATATGGACTCGTCACTAATTTCATATTAATTCTTAGTTTTGGGTTTCTAAAATGTTAATGCAGGATATAAGAATGTTTCCATGCACACACAAAGTTTTGGGTTTCAGATTAACTCTTATTATCAGGTTTCTCATATTATATTAGCATCTGGCCATCCTAATAAAAAAAAAAGAACAATTTAATAATTAACCAATCGATCAAGGGTTATATGATATTTTACCAAATAGTAAGGCCTTTTTTGACATTTAGCCATACATTAGGGGTATTTTCACATTAACCCAAGGAAAAGGCCATCACAAAGTGCCATGTTCATGCAAGGAGAAACAAATATTTAAATAGTATTCTTTTATCTCAAGACGTGAATGAAACTATCTTATTTCATTGATACGTTTTAATAGTGTGGTAAATGAAACAGAAGATCTCTACGGAAATCCAACGACACGCCATATTATAGGCGCATTGCGTGTGTTTTGTCTTTTGAGGTGGTGTTGTATCATATATGTCAAAATCTTCTTTGAAATGAAAATAAGACACAATAATTTGACAAAGAATCCCATGATCAGTTTACTGTGAAAAATTATCGATGTGCTGAAATCTTACTTGTTCATTTCTTTTGCGTCAAACCAATGGACTGCAATGAAATGGAACTACTCTAGTCATCAATGTAGTTACCACATATGTTGTAATGTAGTTGGCCAGATTTCTGATTCGCAAATCTTTAGATTTAGTTCATGATACAAACGAGAAGAACCTTTCTTTATTGGACAAAGTGACGAAGAACTTTCCCCAATTACTAATAAGCCAATGACATTTATTTGACCCTCACCCAATCAAAAAAAAAGAACAATATTAACATAACCTAATAAAGAATGTTATCGTTAATCAAAACCTTTCTAAAAGCACAAATGAAAAAAAAAACAAAAAAAAAGTGACCCTTTAACAAGTACGTAATAGATTGCACACCACATGACTTAAATAATATTGCGGGAGGAATCTTAGAGGTACAATCATAGTGATGAGACAACAAAAAAGTTAAGTATATATGGGGTTAAAATATAAAAGGCCCTTAATTTGCTTCTTTTCTTGATTTAATTATCCACTTCTTTTTTTTTTTTTTGTAAAGCATCATCATCGTGGTCCTTCTTAGTTATCAACTACCGATCACAACTATTGAATTTAGTTAGAGGAATGATAGAAGATTAAAATATTTCAATGAAATAGTTCATATATATCCAATGTAAAATATGCAAAATTACAAAATAATGAATTGTATAAACAAATCAATAAGTTTACGAAGTTGACAGAACGGACATTTTCAGTTAAATAGACTAAAATGTTAAAAATTGGAGATAGAATTCGATCATTTATGCTTTGTTATAAGAGATTTTTTGTAATTATTATTGTCGATTTGATTTACAAATTAAGCTGATTGATTTACAAGTTAAGCTAATTGCGGGTCTTCTCGTCGACGTTGATGATCGTAATTACTAGTAAAATGTTATTTAAATGATTCTAGACTTGAAAATTATTATTGATTACATTGCTACAAAAAGTAATGAAAGGTAACTTTGTTTAGGTTGTAAGCATTGCGCCTAATTCCTTAAACTGCTCTGGTATAATATTCAAGCCTTTGGCCATGCAGTATCCCAATGGGAAGGTGCCAAAGTTCGAAATTAGCACACAGATATACTCACTAAACTCGTCTTTTCTCCTTTTTAATAATACTAATAATAAAAAAGGATCCTCCTTTTCTTGTCAATAAAGTATACCACAAATGAAACTCGGGGAGCTTGAGATTAAACGACATCTGGACGGGGGAGCTAATTGGGCTCAAAGTGATCAAGTCATGATTATTGTTTTTGTTTGAGTCCTCCAATTACCTGATTAGCTCCTTTCCAATGTATAAGCCCATGGAGTTGGGAAAACAAAAAACTATTCTTTTCTCGCAACACATGAATCATGAAAATACACTATTTCATTAATACGTAACACATATACATACAGCAAATAAAACAGAAGATCTTAAAAAAAAGTCCAATAACGCACCATATTATAGGTGCATTGTGTTTGTCCTTCCGGCACTTTTTTTTTTTTTTTTCATATTATGGGGTGTCCATCGTCGGCAAGACTAATCCCTCTCATTCATGATAGGCACCTCGATGGGTAGGAGAGCTGGTCAAAGGATTTAATGTTACTCTATTCCCATGGCGAGGTTCGAACCATTAACCTATAATCTGCGTATTTGTTGAGCGACAAACCAATAGACTGCCATCCAAACAAAACATGAAAAAAAAAAAAAGGACTATAAACATTAAGCCAATAAACAATCTTTGAGATACAATCATGATTATGAGACAACAGAAAAGTTAACCTTATAGGCGTAATTTTGAAAGGCCCCTTAATTTGCTTTGATTTTTCTTGATTTTTGGCAAAGCATGATCATCGTGGTCCTGCCTAATGTATGACTTAAATGTTGATCCCAAAAAGGAACACTTGCTGTAAGAATAAAGGACAATGTATTTTTCATCCGTCTTAAAGTATTTATACTATTTACTATTTAAATTTTCATTTCTAATTAATTTAAGTTAAAAATAAAAATTTAAAACCGTCAATCATTTTGTGAAGGAGGGAATACATGGTTTTTGTATATTTGGTGTGTGTTTTGAGCAATTTCAAATGTATGATTTCCTCTTTCTATGATTTTCAGCTGTCCACTTATTTTAACAAAACAATGAAATAATTCTAAGTAGACAAATATACTCCCTTCGTCCCGCAATTAGTGTCAAGTTTAGAGTTTTATTTTTAGTTTAAATTATACAACTAAAAGTGAAAATTCAAAGTGTACAATAATTTTAGAACAAAGGAAGTACAGGATGCTCGATTCAGGTGAACTCTTTCCAAAACAGAGGTCTCCTAATAAGCTCTGTAACACACAACGGATTTGAGACCTAAAATAAAGCAGGACAAGCTCTTTAATATTTGATTCCAACATGCAATTGCCTTTATCATACACATTTAGTTTTCACAAAGGAAAGATTAACGACTAAAATTGAACTTTTACTCGTACCCTTGGACGTTTTTGAAGGGAAACAAATATGTAAAAGTAAATCAACGGCAATTTTCCTAAAACAACCGGTCAATTCTTCAAATCCTACATGACTCTTTTCATTGCCAACCACATAAGGAGATTAGACTTAAAGCCCATGTTCCCAAAAGAGACCCATTTTTTTCTTTAGATTTTGTAGAGCCCAAACAACGGACTTAAGGCACAAGCCCAAGACATAAGGCCGTTTTTGCGGGAAGCTGATATCTGCTGTCTTCTACGAACCTGATCGGCAATCAGTCGGCCTTCTCGGCGGCGCACCGGCACGGCCACCGAGCACAATGCCGTCAATGTCTGAAATCACTTCTCTGTTCACAACGCTAGCATCGAATCTTCAAACCCTAGACCTAAACTCCAGGACTGTCGATGATAAAGACGTCACCCTCGCCATTTCCAACCTAAATCGAACTCTGAACTTGAGCGAAACTCAACCTAGGTTGAGGGTTTTGGACACCGCTCTATCTCTCATGTGCTTCAAGGCTCCTGAGGTCTCCGGGAAATTTTCTCAATTTCATCATTTTACTTGTGTTTCGCGTTCTTGTTTTCCTAAATTTCCTAAAAAAAAAATGGTGTTTTTGTTTCGATGTAGGTTTTCCAATCGGTGCTTGAGCACACGGTGAAGACGATTCTGGCAGTTCTTTCGTCTTCTGTTGAATGTAAGGTCTTGAGGGTCCGGGATAAGGAAATTTTACGCGCTGGAGGATCATTTTCTCCTCAGGATTCTTTGGAAGTAATGGATATGTGTGTTCATATATTGGAAAGATTGGAAGGACATCGAGGTAACTATGGGATTACTTTTGTTGCGTTAGATTGAATAGATTGTGTTCATTCTGTCAGTTTCTGCATTTAAAATTCTTGCAATTCATAAGAAGTAGCTTATTTATTGAGATGAACTCGGAAAAAAATTCTTGCTTTATGATTGAATTGAAACTGCTGGCATTTTCAACATGATTGATAGGAACAATATTTACATTTTTCTTTTTTAGGTATATAGAACTAAGGGTTTAGCCCCTTCTGTTTTCTCTCGTTTTGGTCTTTGACGCATGCTGTAGTTTATTCATTGGAGAAACTTGATTAGCCGAATTTGATTTTAAGAGTATGTATAAATGTTCACATTTTCTTCTTTTTTTTTTTTCTTTTGTAGGAGATCTTTCTCCTTCAATAGCTCATGCTGTTTTAAGAGTAGCTGTACTGGCATCACACTTTCATCATACCATGGTACCATGTGCTGTTCTTGATGGTCATTCATTTGATGGATGGAAAAGTTCTGTTCACAAGCTACTTATCCATGTGCCAAAAGAAGTTAGTTTTATGAGTACAGAAATTCCAGAAAGGTGTGTTGGGTCGATGACCATGTGTTCATGTTCATTTTACTCGGCTCACATTCTGTCAAGAATCAACCGTAACTCTTACATTGAAGGCAATTCGAGTAGTTTTTCAAAGGATTTGCTTCTATGGTGTATATATTGTACATGATTTTCATCTTCTTCACTACCTGAAACTTTGCAGGTTGCTCTTCTGGTATCTTGATCCCACCATCTTACGGCATGATCTTTCTCAAATTCTGAAAGAGGCGAATAAAAGATACTTCCTCCGTCTGAGAATTGAATTTTATGAAAGGATAGAATGGCGTTCCATCTTGATATGCTTGACTCTTGCTCCTGCAATGTTCATTGAGGCAAGGGCCCTCTTGCATAGTTGGTTTCTATTGACGTATGTTCCTACTCGTTAATTTAGTTTAGCCTTCGACATTAAATAGCCTAGATATCTAATCATTGGATTTGAAGTTATAGCAGATAGGGGCTAGTAGTTTTTTTTTTTTCTCCGCTGGTGAATTGTATATCTTTGCTGATTTTTTATTTGCTGTTGTCCCTAATGCGGTTGCTAGCTTTGAGCATTTCTCTAGAAACTATTTTTCTTTTCGCAAAGTATCAGCTCATCTACCCCTTCACTTACCAGGTCGGATTCTGTTTCAGGGGTTTGGCTAATGTGTTGGAACTACAAGCAGCGATGGTCTTGTTGGTGCTAGACATAATCTTGAGGCCGATGTGGTGGGGTTTATCAATGGAGACAAGTTCAAAGTTGCCTTTTTCTCATGCATATTTCCCATTTCAGCAAAACTTAATTAGAATTCTGGCTGGACCATTGTCATGGGAAAATTTTCTGCCTTTAGCTGACAAAATAACTTCTCATGCCAGAAGCGACCATAACAGAATATCTGAACCAGGCAGGGCAAATGCTGATTTGGTGGACCATTATTCTCCATGGTAATTTCAATTATATGCTGGGAGTATCGCTTTTCTTGATTGGCTCTCCTTGTGCATGTAATTTCAATTATAATTTTTTTTGCTTCTGTTTAACAGGTCAATTGCTATGAATTTTCCTCACTGGTTCTGTTTTGCCACATTATTGCTCTTTTACTCCCCAAACGTTGAAGGGAGTTTCCAGTTAAAATACAACACTGGTTTAGTTGAATCTGATAAATTGTACAAGGAAGAACTTCCATATTCTGGTTCAGCCGCAAAATTTATTGCATGGATTGTGAACCCTGCTACTGATCCTTATCAGGATTTATTTGTTGATTATTTGGTGGAAGTATCAGCTTTATGGACTTCCAAGCGATCTGGAACAGTCAATCTTGGTCAGGCGTCTAGGGTCTACAAGGAAGCCTGTAATTTGAAATCGAACAGTCTTGAGGGCATAACCCATGTGTTGTTTGACAGCCATAAAATCTGGCTCTGGCTCAATGCATTTCAAGACAAGTATTTTAGATGTTCCAGATCTGCTAGCTGGTTCGCATCAAGTTCAGCGCATACGAACAAAGGAGAGGGCAGTTGGACAAGTAGGTTAGTCAGAAAGATTCCTTTAGGCATTTTGTTTGGGTACCTAAGTTCTATAGATCAAGCAGGATGTGAATTACTTCTGCACTATGCTACAACTGGAACTGTCTTCCAGTTGAGAAAAACACAAGTTGCTGGATTGAAGCCTCAAGGAAGCAGCCGTGCGTGGCAAGAATCATTGTGTAAATGGAGTGAAACATGTAGCATAGAAGAAGCTATATCAGGAGCCCGGGTTGTCTTTGATCTCACTGATGTAATTCAGGAAATGTCAATATCTTTGTTGGAAAATGAAGAGAGTAGCAGAGAATTCCTTCGCAACGTGAAATTAAAGGTTGGAAAATTTTTGCTCAAGTGTGTGAACAGGCTTCTCCAAGTTGATGATGATGAAGCTAGACATCATATATTTGGGGATCTCCACCGTAGTTTACGCCATTGGGGACGCCAAGGACACGATGTCTTTCAAGATTTCAAGGAACTGGATGATATCATTATGAAGTTAGACGTGCGTAAGTAAAGGGATCCTATAATGCGGACAGAATTTCATCTGTCAAAAGAAGTATGAGCCTAACTATGTCGATTGCTTGCTAAATGTACAAATTTTGGTCTTGACATTATCCTCTTTTTTGGACTCGCTCTAGATATGTGGCCTCTATGCACTGATTAGTCCCTAAAATTTCATTACCCTTTTTGAAATGAACTTTGTATATGTATTGGTATATAAGCCATGTGCATCTCTCTATATGTATGGGTATGAGGCATTTGCATATAATTTACTGAATGTAGTAATTTACTGAACGAGTTGCAGTTAGAGCATATGTTCTAATCTCTTAGATATCAGTATTTCTTTTTGCGTAGGACAATAATCATTAGTTCTTCAGTTCTTCTGTTTGCACCAATCAACTCTTTTGGATGGGATCTTCAATTCTTCCTAGTAACTAGTAATCAAACATAAGGAAAAGGGCAAAGTACCTTGGCATTTAGGGTAAAGGTAAGAGTTGTATTTTCTTCCAAAATCCCCTTGGATATATCTGCAGGATGGTAAGGAAATAATTTGATCAGCAGTGTATATATGAAGTAAGTTAATCTGTATTTGTCATATCACTCTAAGTCGTTTGTTTCCAACGTTAGTAATGTTTTTCTCCATTGAGATTTTCTCAGAGAGTTTGTTTTCTAATAATTATTATCAGTTTTGCTAATATGAGTACCGATACAAAAAATAGCCTCAAGAGCAAATTATGAGTGTTCTTCAAAAAAAAATTTGGAAGAATACTAATAATCTGCTTTGAAGGCGAATATTTGCTATGGCAATATCAGCAGCCTTTTTATTTATTCATTATATTTCCTTTATTCCTTCCTCGTTTGAATGAATGTATGTCAGCCTCGACATCTTTTGTCAAATGCTCTTTTCGTTCGAATATGAAGAGGGCGACAGAGACTTCCTTCTCATCCTGAAATTGAAGGAAGGAAAATATTTGCTCAAGTGCGGCGATTGGCTTCTCCAACTTGATTGATGGTGAAGTTAAGACATCTAATGTTTGGGGATCTTTTCAGTAGTTAAGTTCATTGGGAGGCACTGAGGACAAGATGTCTTTCAGATTACAAAGGAACTGGAAGATATCATTATGAAGTAGAAGACGCGCATAAGTAGGAGATTGTGTAAGGCAGACGCAGTTTCATCTGTCAACAGAAGAATGAGCCTATGTAGATTACTTGTACAGATATCATATATCCAAATTAAATGCGCAATTTGAGTTGTAACATTATCCTTTTCTGTTTCACTCGATTAGATATGTGGTATCAAATCTGATGAATGTCATTGTCTTGTTCACTGCAATTTGATTGATTTCTTTCCAAAGAGAAGAGCTTAGTTCTGGATTGAATGCTGTAAATATTTTGCTTTAAGCCTTGTGTATCTTTCTTGTTTCTAGCGCATATTAAAAGAAGTAAAGAACTTCAGTTCTGATGGATAACAGCTGATAACAGTACATGATATTTGATAGGGGTAAAAAGATGATACTGCTTTGATGAGATTATATAAAAACACCAATCGAATTGCCGAATTGGTGTGAGATATGTATACAAGAGATTTTTCTGTTTATTATGAAACCTACCAAGCTATATATAGTAAACCTCAACCACAATGAGGGCTGACCTGAGCTGAGAGGAGCCTATTTACAATTGCCTTGGGGTTGTGTATCATTGACAGTGAATTGCGACTATACAATGTTTATCCTTTTCGACCAAATTGCTAATGGTTTGTGAATCAGGCTCTTGACCTTGTAGCCACCCTAATCCAATATGGATCACCACCCATTTCTTCGAACACGACCAGGTAGTTTTGACCGCCGGGGTTCAGCCAGGAACGAGGAACATGATACCTGAAATTTAGTTGGTGTCGAGTCAACAAATTGAATAGTAGAGTTCATATTCAACTGGTAGAAGTTGTAACTACTATTACCATCTCTGTGAAGGCTCTCCGCAGTATAACTGGCATTTCGTTGCTGAATACTGCCCTGCATAATTACATTTCTCGCAGTTGCCTTGAGCTGTGTATGCAGGAAAGTATCGTCCAATGCTACGACCATTCACCCATATTTGACCTTTACCCATGGATACCATATCCAGAGCTACTGGATCATTTCCGGCCGGTGTGGGGAAAGTGGTCTGAAAAAAAAATGGACATTGTTTGAGTTAATAAAACAGCCAACCAGGATGTTTAGCACGATTTTGATGAAAGCAACAGTGTTGGTTTTGACCACTTGAACCACATTAGACGAGAAAGAAAAGTTACCTTGTACCACGTCAGGGGCTGCTTGAAAGCTACTGAATTTCCTTGTATCCATTCCACCGAGGAACTTCCACTGAGAGTATTGAGGCCTAGGGATTCACCATATACACCAACCTGTCAATGAACCGCCAATCAAGCGTTAGCCAACTATCTCCACCTTCTCTGATAATCTTATAGAAGTAAACTCCAAAAAAGAGCATGATCATTTGGGAATTATGCCGGTTGTCACAGAAATTATCTTTTTCAACATTTCCAGGTCATTATTCCAGATAAATTTCAAATCTTTTCAAGTAACCTTGTAATTCCAATTCTGCTTTGTCAAATCTCTTGTCCCTGCGTTGAAACCGTCCAAAGTTACTGGACCGAGAACACCTGTGTTGTACCGCTCAAAATGCGTGCCAACATTCTGAAATATGAATAGTATTCAATATTCTGCGTAGAACCAAGGGATTTGAAAAGAATTTGGACATTATCAAATGCTAACTAACCGCAAGACCAACTGCAACGCTAAGTATAGCTATCTTGTTGACGCCGGCATTCAATTTCACATTTTTACTGAATGTGGGGAATTTAAAATTGGGACTCTCTAGTGTTCCATAAGCGGTTCCTGCCAATAGACAAGTGAAAAATCAGACAAGGAGCATGAGAAAAAATTTCAAAGTTGGAATTACCAAAAGTCAGGATCGGGTTTTGAGATTATACGTACCCCAAAGTCCACCGTTGACGAAAACATGCATTACATGGCCAGCTGATTGGACTGTGAGCTTAGGCCAATATCCACTCTTCAGGAATCCCTCATCGGCTGCAACATTTACACTGCAGATAAAAGTCCAGATTTAGAGGGGTTCAATATCTAGAGAAGGCCAAAGTGTATATGCTCTCCTCCAGCCAAAAGCAGTTTCAATGGCAAAGTGCATATCAGTAAGTCGTGTTCACAGTGGAGATACACTTACTCTGTCAAGTACCACAAGTAGTCCGAGTTATCCCAGGTTAAACCAATTTGCTCCCACAATCCATTCTTTGAGAATGTATCTCTATCATCAGCAGAAGGCATCCCTTCAATGTGTGACTGCCATGATAGTGGACCACCTAATGGCGTAAACTTTGGCCATGTGGTTGGGACATTATTAAGCTGCAAAGAGCCAAAGCGAAACTCATTCTTGTATTAAAAAAAAAAGTAGTTTTACCCACATGGAGTGGAATAAAGTACCAGTAGAAACATGTTGGATGTATAGACAAATAGTAAATTCTTTTTTCCTGACTAACTGGAGAATGAAATTTTGGTTCGAGTAAGCAAGGTTCTTTCTTACTGTTGCAGTATTGTAAACTACAGTCTTGCAGTCTGGGAGTATGCTGATAGACCAAGGTGGCAGATCGTACTGCACATTGCGGAAGGTTATTTTGGCTGAATATGTTGGATCATAGTTGGAAAGAAATGCAGCACAAGCTCCAGTTTTGGATGTAAACACATGGGCCTGAAAGTTGTTAGTGATGACAAAATTAGATTCTCAAATTGATAGGCGATAGGAACTTTATTTTACTGTAGCTACACCCTTGGTCAACTTACCTCTTGATTCTTCCCAAACCATTGAACTGTTGGATATGATGAAACCAAAGCTGGTTCAGCTTGCTTGATAGCTTTATGAAGATTTGTCAAGTGTGAATACTTTGGCTCGTTGAATTGTCCTAGAAGATCGTGGAGTAGATAGAGAAAATGAATCACTAATTGATGTGAATTAGATGCAAGCTACATATATGAAACGTGCTAGTGATCTACAGTTTTGCAACCTGAGAAGTCTGATGTTGTTTAAAATGTTCCTATTGTTTTCACTTTTACTAGGAAAGCACAAAGCACTGGAGCATAAAAATTTTTTAGGACTAGTTGTCAGACATACCGTATTCATCAAGAGGAGCATCATAATCATAGCTTGTTGTAACGAAAAGTCCAGAACCACCTCGGCCAAAGTTGGTTCCACCATGGTACTGACATCGGATAGACAAAATCAACAAAATGTAAGAGCAAGTAACTTCACCGGAATAACAAAAGAAAAGTGACACTTCATTATCATCCAATTTGCCTAAATAATTAACCAACCATGTAGTAATTGAAAAACGATCCATTGTTGTGAATGAACCTTGCAACTGCAAATGCCAAGTCTTCTGCTGGTCTGTGAGGATTAGCCCCACCCCACTGTGTGTACCTGGAATTGGAATAAAGCGATATTGAGTTTTCCTATCATCTTTATTTAGATACAGTACCAAGGAAAAACCAAAGATGGTAATAACTAATAGCTTCATAAGACCTACCAGCCAGTCCAGACTTCAGTGAACATTTTTGGTTTCCAGGGCTTGTTAGGTTTATAACCCTCACAGTAGAAGCCATTGCAAGTGTCAATCTGCAATGAACTTAATTAGCCGGAGTTGGACAGAAAAACCAAATACACACCTGAACTTCAATAACCAAAACCCTCTTGTTCAAATTTCAAAAGATCAAATCTTTTTATATTTAGACAAAAACCTAAGGACAACCTAGTCAAACTTAGTATCAAGAACACTCCAGAACTTCGAATTTAACCCACTGTCAGAAATTTTGTAAGAAGACAATTTGAAATAGGTAAGACAATTAGGGAAAAGTGAAGGCAGAGAAAGAATTGATTACCATAGGATCAGGGGCATCCCACTGTTTGCACATAACCCATGGAACACCGGTTTGTTGACCCACGGCCATTTGAGCTGTCCATGCGAGATAAGCTTTGCCGGGAGCACCAATGTCATACTCCACTCCATCATACTCATTCTCTATCTGCAAATGAAAAATTGAAATCCCACAAATGTCACCAAAAAAATAAATAAATAAATAATTGAACCCATTTGAAGACACACAATACGGATAATAAAGATGCTTTCTTTTTTTTTTTCTTTCTTTTCTTTCTTTACCTGGGACATGATGATTGGTCCACCCTGAGGCTCAAACATACGTTCTGCCTTCATCAAGCTGACAATTTTGGAAACAAATCCTTGCATTGCCGACTACACCAAACAGTCAAACAGTAAATTTCCATAGTCAAAGTCTCCCTATAATTTTTTATACCATTGGCTGAGGTTTTTTAAAAAAAAAAAATGAGGAAAACGATGAAGGGCAGTTAGCAGTTGTCTTAAATTACCTTGAAAGGCCCGTTGTCTGTCCTAAACTCAATGCCAGGCACATATTTTAGCCAAACAGGAAATCCCCTGCACCGGCAAGAAAACAGAGGAGAAAGTATAAGAAAACAGGGCAAAGTTAATTTAATTTCTATGCAATTTATCTTCTTTTTCCCATTTTCATGCATTAGTAAATTTATTATTAATCAGAACTTTGGGAAAAATAAAAAAGTGGTTCAGGTTTAATATCTGATTGTCTTTTCTGACTGCATTACCCGAAATTCCACTCAGCACAGATGAATGGGCCGATGCGGAGATGAACATAGAGGCCTGCAGCTTGTGCTAGTTTGAGGAATTTCACAATATCAGCGTTTCCCTCAAAATTGTACTGGAAAAACAACAACAACAAAATAGAGGAGAGATTAAAATTTAAAACCCAGAATTTATTTTGCAGAAAGTGGAGAAAATGATTAACAAAGGAAGCAGTTTTAAAGTGGATTTTGCAGAAATACCTTTCCCTGTTGTGGCTCGTGCACATTCCAAAAAACGTAAGTCTGTATCACATCCAAGCCTCCTGCTTTAGCCTTTTTAATAAGATCAGGCCACATCTGCAACCCACCCAAAAGGCAAAAAGAAAAGGTCAAATTTTTAACATTCTGAGAAAAATTAAAAAGCTCCATAGCCAAAAGACATGAAGAAAAAATCTCTCCAACAAAATAGGGGAGGATGGACCAATGGGTGGGAATCAGTACCTCAGGAGTGCTTCTGGGGTAGTGTATGGAACCAGAAATAAGAATCTTCCTCTGGCCATTGATCATAAAAGAACGGCCATCAAAAGAGACGGTGGCTCTGACAAGAGAAGAACTTGTCAGAAATGATAACACAACCAAATACACCAAAATGTTGATTCTCAACATTCTCCACACTGAATCCATGATGAATTGATGATGATGATGATGATGATGGAGTCCTCTCTATCTGGCAAAGGGGCCCTTTTTTTTTTTCCTCTGTTTCAAAGAGTTGCAAAGACTGCTGGGAAAATAGAAAAAAAAAATAAGAAAGAAAGAATAGAAATGAGAGGGAAAGAGGGCTTAAATGTTGTCTTGTCCCGCTTTACTAATCTTCCTTATTTTTGTTTTTTTTGCATATTTGATATATACAGAGATATAAAAAGGATAGATACATAGATATGCAGCTTTGCCTTTGCAAAAGCCAAAGGAAAAAAATATATATATTCAAAGGGAAATGTACATTGTGGTTTTGGTTTAGTATATTTGTTGGTAACATGAAAGATTATGAAGCCACTTTTGGTTGCTATTTATAACAGAAGTTTTGGAAGAGAAAAGTGTATGTGTGGGACATGGTGTTTTTGGCTGAGGGGTAGGATCATCTTCTTGGTTTTTTGCCTTATTACGGAACTCACGCTTGTCCTAGCAAATATTCCTATGTTAAATATGGTACTCACAAAAAATTTAAAAAAAAAAAAAAAGGTTTGATAGATTGGTGTAATTTCTTTGTGCAATTATTTCAATCCAATTCTTTACTTGAAAAGAGGGATTAAGAGCATCTAATTCAAGATGAGAAAATGGATAGTTCTTACTTCTAACCCCTTCTAGCAACTTTTTTGTGGTGGTTTCGTTAGTTATGGTCTTTTTTTCTCTTTTCTTTTACTTGAGGTGGAATATACACATAATACTTTGTTACTTCTACTCTTTTTTTTTTTTTTTTTTTGGTTTGTTAGTATGGTAGTCATGAACCGAATAAAAGAGAAGTAAAGAAAAGATGACAAGAAAAGAAAACTCCATTTTTTTGGGTTGTTGTTGCTTTGAAGCTTTTTTTTTTTTCAATAATATGTTTTTTTTTGGTGGGGTGAAAAAAGTATGAACTTTTTGGGGTTGAGGACATACACGCAAGACAGTTTTGGGGTACACCTGTTTGAAGCTTTTAGCCAATGGCCCCTCTTGCAAGTGGTCAAGGTCCCTTTTTTTGGGGGGGGGGATGGTTCACTAAAGGTCTATTTCCTATTTTATTTTTCAAGAAAATAAAATTAGAAATACTTTAAAAAACAGAACATAAGATAAAGACCTTTCCATTGGAAAATTGGAGCCGGATGCAAAGTTCACGCATTTTCCAACGCTCCTTATCGTAGAGATTGTTAATTCTCGTTACTACATTATTTGCATATCTTTTAAATTATTAATCTTTGGTAAATTGGGTTGTCCCATCTCAACCTTCCTCAAAATATTATATGTTCTTACATAACATTTACATGAAAAAATTACTTTATTGATCTTCAAAGTTGATACTTTTGTTCTAAAAATTCCTAGTAAAGATGATTTATAAAGATGACAGAAGAGAGTAAAAATGATTTTTCATACAAGTTCATGAATTCATTACCGAAAATGTTAACCTAATTTATTTAAGAAAATAATGTCTTTCGTCCATGTGTACTGATTGTGATCAGTTTGAAATTTGGCCAACAATCCCAATTAGACCATGACAAAGAAAAGAAAAAACTCCAAGAGATAAAAAGAAATTCATTATTGAGATTGAAAGGGTTAATTGAGTTAGTTTACCGTATTTTTTAAGGTTGGAGTAGAGTAGATATAGTGTTCAACAATCAAATAAAGACAGCTTCCATGACTTGGTGTGGGTTGTAACTAATCCCATTTTACATTGGACAAAATGCACTTTACGTCCCCAATTTTGGGGGTAATAAAATCAAGTCACCATAAATTTTCAATTGGCGAAAATAGTTCTCTACAATATTTTTCTCGTCAATTTCAGTTGATTTAACAGAATTTCTCAAAAATTAACGAGACAAATCTACTCTCCGTCAATTCTCTTTTTTTATATCCATTTCGTTACTGTTTGTGGGACCTACAGTTTGACCAGCAAAAAAAATTAAAAAAAAAACCAAAAATAAAATAAACAAAAGAGGAAAATTTCTACCGGAAGGCGCGAAGTCGGGAGCAAAATTCGCGCCAAAAAAACACCCTCCACATAGCATAAATACAGGTGATTCATCCTCAACCTTTGCAGATTTATCAGAGTATTATTGTCAAAAAAAAAAAAAGGAAAAGAAGTGCAGCATATTTGGAAAGGGAAAATTGCATATGGAAGGAAACGGAGTTGTGAGGTGTCGGTGTGGGTTGATTGCAAACTTGGTAACTTATTGGAAGGACGATCATCTTGGGAGAAGGTTTTGGGGCTACCCTTTGTATTCGGTAAGTTAAATTTCTTTAAGTAATATTCAGTTCGTAATAAGCTGAAGGGAATTCAATGGTGTGATGTTTTAGAATTGTAGAGGGATGATTGGTGTAATTTTTTTCGATGGGATGACCCGGATTTGTGTGCTAGAGCAAAGGCAATCATCCCTGGATTGCTCAGAAGATGCAACACAAATGATGAAGAAATTAGGAAGTTAAAGAAGAAACTATTTTGGACCCAAATTGCTGCAATTGTGTTGGCAGCTATGGTCTTTTTTTCTTTTATATGAAGGGAACGAATAATACACTGAAGCTATTTGATAAATTGTCCAAGTTGTAGTTTGCTGACTTTTCTTGTGTGTCTAAGTTGTAGTCGTGTTGATCTGTGTCCTAGTCTTAGGGAGTGTAGAAGGTAGGATGAGGTCAGCTGTTGATGTTTAGTTCGTATTAGAAGTGTAGTTCGTATTAGAAGTGTATTAGAAGGTAGGATCATGGTTTGCAAGTTGAATGTATTTTGGGTTTTAATGGATGATCTTAATGGAATGTTATTGATCTGTTTGTGGCATTTGATCTGCACATTTTAATCTTATTTCCATTGTGTTCATTACAAATGAGATTATCTGTCTTCATCATCCTTCTGCCATAGAACAAACACCATAAGAAGTAATGAAATTTCTACGGCTCATACACTTAATTTAGTACTTAAAATGTTGTCAAACGTTACCATGCCCAAAACAATTACAAATGTAAACCTGTGAAGATGCAAAGAAGCTAAGTAGAAGAGAATAATTTAAGGTATCGCATATACACCGATTTCATTGCCATATATGGAAGTTATGCATCTTAAGATGTCTTACATTAACAAAATAGTGGGATGCATACAAAAAGAGGGCAGAAGATATTTCCTTCTTTTTCATCATCACATCCCACAAAGACATCTCCTAGAAAGCCTAGAGCTGAAAATAAGAGCATAAAATCCAAGTACACTTAATACTTGCTGTACATAATAGAGTCTACAACCAAGTTAACATCAAACTACAGTTTGACACATACTACCAAAAGAAGACAACCAGCTTAAACAAAGCTTTTACTTTTCAGTCTTCACTTGCTTCAACATGGTTTTTGCCTTACCAATATCTCCCAAGACATGAGGACCATAAAGTTCATAAATCGCATTGGTGGTTGCAATAACTTCAGCAATTATATCTGATAAAGATTTGGCCTGAATAGAACCAATGGTAAACATACCATCTGTTGAGGAAGGAGGGGGTTTTAATCCACACATCTTACATAACTCGTTGCCTCTTGCAATAGCTTTAGCTGTTTGTTCAGCAATGTTGTCAATGACAGCTTGTGTGCCCCAATCAATCTCACCATTTGTTTTATGCATCTTTGGCCATACTTGACTAAACAGCTACCTTCTTCACATTCTTCAACTGAGCTATCTTATGTGAATAGCTTACCTTGTACTGCTGGGGTACAACATCACCGAAAGTTTCCTAAAACTTGGAGTTATTGATCTGTAAGTCTGTACCAGAAGAAGGCTCAACAGAAACCACCTTTGTAGATATTTCCTTCTTGCATGTCACCTTACTGATTGGCTCCTGGGATAGTTCCGTCTGAGTGTCCTCAATTGGCTCATCAATAAGCTGAAAGCTGGATGTAGTCTATTGATTTCCTTTCATTTTTCTCTTCATGGCTTTATTACCTCCCTTGACCTGATAAAATATATATAACCATAAAATACATCTAAGGAATTACTACTAAATGAAGTAAAGGAATGTTATGGAATGTTTTCATCCACAAAAATACCTGATTAGGTGGATTAACACTGATTTTCCTACCCCGTAGTTGCTTCACCTGATGAACAGGATCATCTAAGAACATTACGTCTGGTTCAGCATCTTGCTGCTCCTTGTCACCAGTCTTGGTCTGAGAAAGACATTAACATGAAAATAAAAAGCAATTAATCCAGGCAAACAAAGAACTTGGCAGTTCAATCCAACTACTTAAGAAGTTCAGATTAACCTTTTGTTTTTCCTTTTCCATATCCTTTTTCATCTGGACATTTTTTGAAATTTTGATGCGTTGAGATAAACTCTGAAAAAAACAAGAAGGGAAAATTGTAGATTACATAGTAAAAGCCTACATCTTATAATCAACAATTTTAAAATGAGACACTTAAACAAAAATACTAGACATTAACCTGTTATTTTCCCTGGCCCTTCTCCTTTTCAATCTTGACATTTTCGGGAATTTGTTTGGGGTGAGATGAACTTTGAAAAGATGTCGACATTTTTCTCTTCCCTTTCTCCTTTTGAATCTTCACATTTTTGGAATTTTTTATGGGTTGAGATGAACTCTGAAATAATGTCGATATTTTTCTCTTCCCCTTCTCCTTTTGAACAATGGGTTTGGGTTGGGTCTGAAAATAACCAACAAGGAAAAATCACCAGACAAAATTTGATGGTGTACTTAAGAAACTTGCAAGGCATGGGAAAAAATATAGAATACTTATAGCTGCTTGCGTTTTCCTAGGGCTTCTATGCAGCGCTTCTGGTTTCGCCTTCTGTATACCACCAAGAAGAGAACCAGACTGATGCCCTTTTTCCTCCTTTGACAATATAAGAAAACATTAATGATGTGTCCATAAAAGGACATATCAAAATTGTAAAACATAATGATAGATTACACTTACATGTACCATGCCCATTTTCTGTTTTTTCTTTATATGTTGTATTTTCTTCGTTGGCAAAACTTCATTAGACCTCATTTCTTGAGAAAATTTTGCATCAAAATGTTGTACAGATTACACTTACATCAGAAAATAGAATGAAAGTCCATACGAAGTAAGCTTTCCGCAACATGGCTTTCATGAAGACCAGCCTCTTCGCAGTTGGACTCATCAGGGTCTCCAAGCTTCCTCTTGCCCTGTTTACACAGCTAACATGTTAATCTTGTGGTCTTACAAAAAATGATATAATTCATTTGCAATTAAAGAACACTTACAGGAGACGAGACATCAGTGTTTGCTCCAAGGTTTACACCATCAAAAAGGTCATCAACATTGCTGCCAAGGTCTACAACCCCCTCCGATGGTCAATGAAAGGGCACTTCCTCTGGTTGTGACCTGTGAGTCCACAAGAGCCACATTTGGATCCACCCTTACCTGTGGCGGGCATAGCAGCTGATTCATTTTGTGTCCCTTGTGAGGCTGTCCTTGAAGGGCACTTTCTCTTATTATGACCTGAGATTGTATATATACTACAACTCATTGTCTGCCCAACCTTACTCAGCTTCTGTTTTCCATCAACCTCAATTATTCTTTTAGCAACACTCTTTTTCTTTTTGGTACTCTTTGGCCTCCCTCGAGGTCTACCATAAAGTGGGGGAAGAAATGGTAATCCTGGTGCCTTTTCCCATTCTGATTCACCTCTCGTTGGCAAGATACAAGGACCATAATACTGTTGGTATGATTCAACACTGTAACATGGATCTACCAAATCCAAAGGCTCTTTGTCAACACACCAAGCAGCACATATGGCATGTGGGCAAGGTACGCCACATAGCTGCCATGTTCTACAACTACAGGTATTTTCTTTCAAGTCCACAACATACTTTCCACCATCACCCCTTCCTCCTTCAACCTCAGAATGGAACTCATCATGAAGTGTAACATGACATAGTTTCGCCTGCTTCGAGTTGTTGATTACCCTTTTAAAAATCCTAGGACATATTGCCTTATCACTCCACAAACCATTGGCCCTTTCCCTGTTTTCATAAAACCTCTCTACAATAATCCTTTTAATTTCATCATACTTACAATTGGCATAGATCTAGCAACCTTAGTCATACCGTTAAAAGATTCACAGTAGTTATTCAGCAAAATATCACATTTAGCCAGAAAACTGAAAAAAGCCCTTACCCACTCAGATTTTGGTTTGTCATTAAACCAATCTGCAACATCTTTATTCAACTCAGCCATTTAGCTAGAACTCATTCTCTGTTGTGGACTTAGCCAATTTCCAGAGCAATTGATGTAGTGCTTCACCCCTAAACCCACTATCAGAAAAGTTATAATGTATATGCTTCACACAAAACCTGTGAACAGCATTTGGAAAGACCGTTTCACAAGCTTGAATCAAACCTTTCTGTTTGTCACTCATAATAGTCCACTCACTATCCCTTTCAATCCTCAAATCATTCTTCAAAAAATTCAAAAACCATTCCCAGGATACATTTGTCTCACCCTCGGCAACAGCCCATGATATTAGGTATACCCCATTGTTAGGGTCAACTCCTACGGCTGTGAGTAATATACCTCTGGTTGCACCCTTCAAGAATGTCCCACCTAACCAAATAACAGGCCTGCATGATGATAAGAATCCATCTCTAAGGGCAGTATAGCAGATGTACAATCTGAGGAATCTTGTTTGACTTGTTATCTCATCCACAAACATGGGATCTGCAACTAGGGCTACCGTAGAACCAGGATTACTCTTCATTATTTCTCCACAATAATCCCTCACTTTATCATACTGATCTTCAACATTCCCATACACAATTCTCATGGACTTCCTCCTTGCTCTATAAGTCTATGATTTAGTGAGAATAAACTTCTATTTCTCCTTTGCAAGTCTCTTGTAATCCCTGGTTGTGATGATCTGGTTATCCTTCACCAACTGAGAACAAATCATGCCGGCAATGGCTGATGTCACACTCTTATTTTTTTGCCTGAACCTGCACTTATGTCGAGTCACAAACATAGTCACAACAGGGGACCCACTGCATATGCTGACATATATCATCCAGTCACACTGCTTAAGTGTTTTGCTTTTATGATCCTTCTTGTACTTCTCAGGACAAACAGCCTTTATTCTGCGTTTGTCATCCTTTTTGAACCTCCATCTTCTGCCTCTCTTAATATTCCAGCGTCTGCTTGCTTCCTTACATTCTGCCCGGGAATTAAATGTTATTCCACATCTCAGGGGTGGCTTGTCCATGTCCTTAAGATGAAACAACATAGGCTTGTCAACATCTTCAGCATTCGATCCCCGTATTGAGCTTTTGAGTTCAGATGGGTCTAATCTTACTTATTGGGCTCCATGTCGGGTTTTCTCTTCTGGATAAATCCCCAACAGTGGTATCAGAACCCACATTGGGCCAAATAGGTGAGTGATTTAGCCTAAATTATCTCGATTGATCTGAATGAACCCAGGCAGTCAAAGGCCCACTACGAGCGGAAACATAAGGATGGGCGGCCCAGTTACTCAGGTGAAATACAGATTTGGGCTTGTCAATATAATTTGGAAGCCCGATGTGGAGATTGTCCATGACGGTAGAGAATGTTGAGGGTCATGTGGCAAGAATTGTGAATCCCACATCGGAGGCATGATGACATGTGAATCAGTTAATAAGTAAGGTGGACTCAAAACCCATTAGCTTGAACTTTTAAGTTCAGATGGGTCTTATCTTACTTATTGGGCTCCATGTCGGGTTTTCTCCTCTGGATAAATCCCCAACATATACTCTGCAAGTCTTCCTCAAAATCTGGTTCCAGTTCCGACCCACTGTTGTCATCGTAGTTACCCTCACCATACTTGTAAGCCTTACTCAGTGATGTAGGTTGCACCTTTTTAGCTCCAACTGAAGAATTAGATAGGTTTTTAGCTCCTGCACTTGATGTAGATGCTTCATGTTTTTCAGGCCCTTCTACACCACCACTGTCATCAGCTACAAATTCATAGTCATTTTTAGATTCTTCCTGGTCATACTCCGAATCCTTTTCATCCCAATCTCTATCACTACTGTCTCTATCGCTTTCACTTTAGGCATCTTCACTAGTTGTATCATCAATCACATCATTAACTGGATAGTCATAGAGTATTAGTAGCCTATCACCAGCCAGAGCATCTCTACACAAATCTTGAAGTTTAGTGTCAGTGGTAACCTCGTGAAGATCACCCTTTTCAACCCCCTCATTGATGCAGAAAAACTTAGTCCCTCCCCCCCTCCCTTATTCCCAGATGCAGCATCACACATTATCCGTAGATGAGCAAGCAGCAGGGCACTACAGTCAACATGGTCGTAAACACTCGTCTCTCCATCTTCATAATGTGGGTAGGGTTGTTTCTTGAGTTCTCCATAGTGGAAAAACTGAACTGTCAACAACTTGCTGCTTTTTTCTGCACATGACAATAAAAACAGCAACATTAGGACCCTACTTTGATATATATTATTTACTAAAAACAATACAAGGTAAGTTTCATACTGAAAAAAATTTAACCCATAAACAAACATAAAGGAGACATTTTCAAATGCTTTGTTGACTGGACCACCTTGACAAATATCTTCACAAGATATAGAAACCCTTTTAACCAAAGAGAACAAAACAAAAATGTAACCTTAACCTAAATTCTGATTATCCCTTTTCAATAAATAATAGGGGCCCTTCATGCTTCTAACAAGTTTCATCACTCAGAAACTAACAGACGGACCCATTTTTTATACTAACGGGTTACAAACAGTGAACAATTTCTGACCATCAACCCAACATCCCAACCAAAAGGGTATAACTTTTAGGATAATCCTATCAAAGAGGCAACAACATCTATGCAACAAAGGGACAAATCAACCAAAAACCGAAATTCTAACCCTTAGTCCCACATTTTAAACACGGATTTACAAAAAGGGTTGGACTTTACACACATTCACATCAAAAAACAAACAGATCTATGCTAAAAGTTACCATAAACACTGAAAGGGAGAAGATCATACCATAGTTAAGAATTGGGTCATTGTTATGCCTCTGCTCTCTCAATCTCGACATCCAAAAAAGCCATCAACAATTCTGGAATTTCCTCCGTAACGATTCACAATAGAAACCCCGTCGATTATTTAGGTTAAATTTAACAGATTTGGTGGTTTCTCTTTGATCTAGGGTTTTTGGATAGCAGATATGAAAGTCGAGTCATTTTTCCCTTTTTGGATTTGAAAGTTAGAAAGAAATCGTTTTTTGGATTCGGAATGAGAATGTAGAAGTCGTTTTTTGGTTCCTCTTTTGTTTATTTTTTTCTTGGTTTTTTTTTTTATTTTTTTCTGGTCAAACTGTGGGTCCCACAAACAGAATATAAATGAATATAATAAGAGAAATTGACAGAATGTGGCATCCTCCCATTATTTTTAGAAAATTTCTGTTAAATTAACTAAAATTAACGAGAAAAATATTTGAGGGGATTATTTTTACCAATTGAAAATTCATGGGAACTCGATCTTGCTACCGTCAAAAGTTGGGGGACGAAAGTGCATCCGGTCCTTTTACATTTAAAAACAACAGAACAATATCCTATATAAGCCATGCATAAAAAGTCATTATACTATATCCATTTTATTTCAAAGCTTTGATCGTGACAACAATTCATTTTTTCCTTCCTCACTCTCTATATTGGACTAATATTGTGTCACTTACCTTGTTTAGTATATTTAAAAAATGTAATAATGATAAAATTACGACTAATTAAAGACCCTCACTTATCCCGTGATGATCCAGTCAAATTATGTGTCCCTTTCACCCACCAAGACGTTTGGTACTTCTTAGAAACAAAGGCAATTTGCTAAAAGAAAATTGTTTGATTTCTCCGCGATCATATTTTGAGGGAAAACAATGTAGAAATGGTGACTATTATAGAAATGATATAGACAATGAATATTTAGTGAAATCGAACAATTATTTAATAACATTACATAGATACAGTCTTATCGAACAATTGTTTGTCTTTTACTCCTTCCGTCCCATAATTATTGTCTAATTTGAATTTTCATTTTTAGTTTAAATTGTACTAAAAATGAAATATTAAACTGGACAATAATTTTAGGACAGAGAGAGTATTTTTCTGACTTTTGGTCATATAGTAAGAGAGATTCAGGTGGATCTGGGATTGAGCCATCGGTGAAAATGCTTACCAACTGAGGTGCACTCAGATCCAGGGAATGACCCATGAAATCGTAACTAATCCAAATCCAACTGATCAGTGATTATATATAGACCTAACCTACGGACAAATATTACTACGGTTACGTTTACCTCAAAAACACAAAAACTAACTAAACCAAATCCGCGTGGAACTATGAACAACCCCCAAATACATATAACAACTATGCAAACGTCTAGTACTCTCACTCCCTTCATTTTTATTAGTCGGTTGTTTAAAGTTTTCATCCAACGGTTATTCAGACGCCTAATTCTCACTGCTGAGGTCATAAATAGGAATACACATTGGTATTTGAAAGTAATAGAGAATGCTTACTAAATAAGTTGATCCCAAAAATATACCATCTAGTGATTTTCGGTTGAGGTGAATTCCTACTTACTTATTGTGCTTGATATTGAAACTCTTGTTCAATACTCGCTCATTTCATTTTGCATGAGACATTCAGATCATTGAATACGAGGAAGAAACCCCGAGAGAGTCCTCTTTTTTGTTTTCGTTTTTGTTTTGTTTTGTTTTTTTTTTTTCTTTTTTGGGGTGACATATGCTATTCAGTAAAGCCCATTAGTTAAAAGACTCGCCGCTTGATGAATCATTGGAAGACGTAATTAAATTACATTAACGAGACTTCATGTTTGTTACCATTTGTGAACCTTTTTCTCAAACCGACTTGCTTTTCAACAATAACGTTTCTCCATCATGTTTATCAAACATCAGGATGTAGATCCATGTATTTACGATTGTGATCTCATCTCAATTTCCAGTTGCATAATTAAGTTGCCTTAAGTCATGATACGAATTCCGTTGATAAGAAATCTACCTAGTTTGTATGTTTATCGTATACTCATTCTGTCTAGAAAAAATAATTCACTTTGAATTTGAAATTTATACTAAAAAATAATATAAATTTAAAAATTCAATGTGGGCTATTTTTTTTTTGGACAGAGGTCATATTATATTACAAAATAAATATAAATTGATACCCTTTTTTCAGTCATCGTAAGTTTAAAGGGCTAACAAAATCAAGATGATTTGAAAAGATTACTTGCGTATCAGGCCATACAATAGCTATATATTGCTGAGAAAAATAAATATTATAAATGGAAAATATATAATAACCTTTATTTTCTTGGCAAAAGTTTCTTTACCTTTGAAACCATACAATTTGTTAAGAAAATGAGGAAATTTTCCTGGCCCCGACGTACGTACTTCAATAATTTTGAAAGACTCGAACTTCAAAAGATAACACCAGTCGTGGGAATGCAATTTTTTTTCGTGATACTGATACATATAATGAATTGATCATACAAGTCAATATCAATGATTGGTTGCAGTCTTGCTGCAGATAATATGAAATCGTAAATTATTGGTCAAAATAAGATAATATAGAAATAGAAATAAGGGCATTGAATGTATATAAACACTTTTGTACCCAAAAAAAAAATGTATATAAACATTTTTTCCGGAAAAAAAAAGTATATAGATATGTGTGATTGTTGTACCTTGATAACAACTACATAATGCACAAACCAGTTTCATTTGTGTGAAAACAAAGCGTACAAAGAAAAAGAGACAAAATCCCCCAGAAATGTCAAACAAACAACATAACTAAATAAAGACCATATATAATTCGCTTCATCAGTTCAACCCTCTTAGGTAAGGAAAACGGTCCCCAATTTATTGCTGCTTTGCCACTTTTTTTTCCTTTTCTGCTACGGCTCCAATTTATTTCTGTTATAGACTACCAGAAACAATGTGATGTGATTTCTGTTTTGGGAAGAAAAATCCCATACATATTCTAGAAAAATGGGAAAGTAATTTTAATGAGAAAAAATCAGAAGGGCTGTCTAGATAGTGTGCTCTAAAAGACTGAAATGGAGGGTTTTATTTGATGAATTGCAACATTATAGTACATAATGATTAATTTTTTTATTACTCCCTCCATCCCAAAATTATTGTTCAGTTTGAGATTTTACTTTTAGCACGATTTGAACTAGAAATAAAAACTCAAAATGGACAATAATTATGGGACGGAGAGAATATTATTTTATTTTATTTTTTTGAAACGAATGCATTGTACTACTTATTTATAGCACCTCGTACGTATGGTGATCGAGGATGCAACTTTCAAATATGACCTTTGGAACATTGGATGATTAGGGATATATTTACTGAAGATTTGATGTTGATGCACGCATTTAAGTCGGAAATTAAGCAGGGAAAAGGTCAAACACCACAACTAAACAATTGTTTTACGATTTACAAGCGAAAATTGTTCAATCTATGACCTGAAAGATGAGCACGTCAAAGATTCAACTTCATTTAGTCTTCTTCATACGTGATGGTAGCGTGCTTAACAAAATATGGCACCCATGCAATATATTAAAAATGAAACAAAGAAAAATCAAATTGATCTAAATTTACTGATTAGGTTTCAAGAAAACAATTAACTAAAATTTTTGCTCGTCACAACATCAGTAATCATTCATAATTAAAATATTATACTACCTCCATCCCAAAAAAATAGTCCACATTGAATTTTTAAATTTGTACTAAAAACAGTACAAAACTCAAAACTCTATGTGAACTATTTTTTTTGGGACGGAAGGAGTAATAATCACTATACAAATGAAATAACGAAATATGAAGAAAAAAAAATGAGATATAATAAAACAAAAAAATATTTTTTATGTATTAACACGTATCATTACATCATTTCGTTCGATGAGTAGTGGTGCGTCTTCAAAATCTTGTCACTTGTTATCAATAAGAGATGCTTGCTTATAAGATATTTTGATCAAATTAAGGAAAAGAGAAATGGATAGAAAGTATATGAAACTTAAAGCGAAGTAAAAAAATTTCGATTATATATCGTTTGTCACAAGACAAGAATAATCGGTAAAAATGTTTTACCACACCCGACTAGAAGAACATTAAAACTTTTCGTTTAATTCACTATTACTCCTTCAGTCTCTTTTTAAAAAAAATTACTTTATTGTATTGTTTCATTTTAATAAATGCGATACGTAAAATGAGAAAATGCAGAACATATACAACCAAAATTAGATCAAAATGCGCATATATGTCAACTGAAAAATTGAACTCCCATAAACAAAGACCAATGACAATTCGATCAAACAGAAAAACAAATCAAAACCAATAATTATTGAAACAACCATTTCTCTCCTTTCAGATCAGAATCCTTATACCCACGCATCAAAGTGGAAGTGTTTAACCGTTGACTTACTGCCTTTTTTTAAAAAAAAAAAAATCATTATCAATTGATTAATACCTTTCTTCATGGAAGTCTTTGTAGCAGCATATAGAATTATAGATTGCGTGATCATCCACGTCTAATAATTTTAGATTTATTTTGTTTGGGGGGGGTTTCCTTGATTAATTTAGTGATAATGAAATGAAGTATTGACCTAGCTACGTCTAATAATTCAAAAACTTAATGTAGACTCAACATATCAATGTACGCATGGTAAAGCCATCGTGCCGATTTTTCTCGGGACACTATTATATCTTAGCTACTTCCTTATCAACACATTAGAGTAATGTTTTTCTTTTGCTTCGTCAAAAGGTCATCACATGGAATCTCTCGATCTTGGTAGTAGCTTTCTTAGGCCTTGTTAACATTTGTTTTAGTTTTTTGATTTGGATTTGAAATGTGATTTAAAATGTGGTTTGGGATAAAATTTAAAAAATTATTTAGATAATATTTTAAATAAAATAATAATTTTTTTAGACCACCACCGGACCACCTCTATCACCAGCGCCGCCGCCGGACCACCCACTACCGCCGTCGACCGGCCAAATTCTGGCGACTTGACCGGAA